TCTAATGATAATGTTGTTTACTTGTTGAACTTTACTCTTAAGATTTTCATTCACTTAGGGTCAAGTTTGGTGATGAAAGGAAACATTAGTAGTAGTCTTTCTCCATTAAAATGTTTGAGACACCCATTGATATCTCATCCAAAATAATTTGATTTTAAATAATTAATTTTAAAATATTTAAATAATTATGGAAAATAGGTGAAATAAGAAAATTATATATTTATATATCAAAAGATATGCACTAAATAACAACGCATAATGGTTGTGATTGTAACATTTTGGACACACCACAATGTGAGAGATTCAAAGACTATACAAGTAGGATTACATAATTAAGGATGAGAAAGAATTAATTAGTATTATTTACATTAATAAGATGCATATATTTTTCAGCAACTCGTTATTTAAGAACTTCACAATTAAGTGTGTTTAACTTAGAGTAATTTAGGGATAGTAACCTTTTGAGATGTCTCCTATAAAGTGTGTGAGTAGGGATAAAATACATGAAAAGCCTTATGTTAATTTGTGAAAATAATTGTTGATTCTAAAAAGCAAGTTAGCATCATGGAGAGGGTTACCCACATAGGGTTTTGACTGGTGAAAGGTTTTGACCAACAACAAATTGAGTGAAGTATCATCAAGTGAAATATCATGGAGTGTATTTGTTGAGACGCCAATTCTAAGGGACGTTACAAATAGTATTAGAGTAGGTTATCTCTCCTAGTACGATGTGGTTCAAGGGTGAGTCAAGCGGAAGCTAATGGACTTGTAAAATCCTAAAATGAAAAGGATACAAAGGTTGTACAGGTGTGAGATTACATAATTGAAGGTAATTCAAATGAATTAAATAATATTACATATGCCAACAAGATACATCTACTTTTTTGTAACTTATCATTTAAGAACCTCAATTAAACATGTTTGACTATGAGCAATTTAGGGATGAGTAATATTTTGAGAAGTTTTCCAAGAAAATGTGTGAATGAGGGTGAAGTGTCATGAAATACAATCATTGAAACATCATATTTGAAGGGCATTATAATGATCACATTGCCATAGGTCAAAAGTACGTAGGTTAGTTAGTACAAACATCTATATAACAACCAATCAAATCTATGTACATCATATACAACCATCAAGAAAAAATTGTTATATAGAAAGGATGTGATCATACTAACTCATTATACATTTTTTTTTCTACTTAACCCTGGAGCAGCCATAAAAATAACTTTTATCATTCCTCTAGGAGTCTAGAAAGTAAGTAGGAAGTTTCATAGAAGGCTTAGTCAGCATGTTGACTAAGGCAATCAATTCGTACAAACACTAAAAAAAAAATCAAGATCAAAATACAATAATAAGTGCTACTAACATAAGATAGTTGCCTATAATAACAAGTATAATAATGTTGCCATAAAAAATAACTATGAAGTTAAGATAATTAGGTGTCTAAAGATTTGTTGTCAAAATTTAGGCGTATTATCAATAAAAGTTGCCTTCTTTGTTTTCCTTATTGTTTAGAAATTTAAGATAATATATTTGTGCACCAACAGCGAGTTGGCGCTATGGCGGCAAGATTGGCGCTGGAGCTGTGGAAATTTAAACTCAAGAAAGAGCTCCAGGGACTTGGCGCTATGGCCGTGAGTTCTGGCACTTCAGCACTGGAATTGAGATATGTCAAAAGGCCAACAGAAACTTGGCATTATAGCTGCAGAAGTTGGCGCTTCAGCGCTGGAACTTAAACATATTAAAAATCCAACAGAGAGTTGGCACCATGGCCATGGCCTAACGCTGGAGCATTGGCACTTGAGATACACAAAAAAGGCTAGGTAGAAAGTGACAGCCATAGTGCCAGTTTTGGAGTTGTAGCTCTAGAACTTAGAATTAAAATTCTAAGTTTTCAGACATCACAAACAACAGGTCTCCTTCCTAAGACATATACATATGACACCCTCCTTAGAAACAAAATTAACAATCAAATTTCACGTGAACTTTCCTAGCATAATAGTTATCACAACCTATTAACTGTACAAAATACTACAAACCATCATCAAAATAGCTTCTTACACACTAACATAGTAGATATGAAGTATGCAGCTAACATGATAATCAATTTTTTAAACAATCATAAAACACTTAAACATCAACAACAAGCATGACATCAAGCATCCTTATGAACAAACACATTTCACTCCACACTACAAATTATCAAAATAATCACAGACTCAACACGAAAAATATTGTATCACCACTATAAAGCATCAAAATAACTTCTTATATCCTAACACACAAAATACAAACAAAACTTAAACTAGATCAGCAATGTTAACACATTCCATAGCATGCCAATCATCAAGCAAAATTCATTCTGAAATCAAGCAACTCTATGAACAAAAACTCTTAACTACTCCCTATTCAAACTAAAACTTAGAATTTAAAACAGAAATTAAAACAAAAACATGCTAATTTAGTGTCTTTAGCTTGACAATTGTTGTATGATCATGGCTCCTTCAAATGAGTAATGGTAGTGAGTCTTTCAACTTCACCACCTAGATAATGCTTGAGCCTTTGACCATTGACTAACCAAGACCTTCTAGAAGCAGGATCTTTAAGTTCAATGGCTCCATATGATTTGACAGATTTAATTGAGAAAGGGTCTGACCACTTAAATTTGAGTTTCCTAGGGAAAAGCTTCAACCTGGAGTTGAATAGTAATACTTGTTGGCCAGGTTGGAAGTTCCTGTTCAAAATTTTCTTGTCATGGTATAACTTAGCTTTGTCTTGTAAGATCTAGAAGACTCATAAGCTTGCAACCTCATTTCTTCTAGTTCATGCAATTGGAGCTTTCTTTTCTCCCCTACTGCCTTCAAATCATAATTTAAGGCCTTCAAAGCCCAGAATGCTTTATGTTCCAATTCCACTGGAAGATGACAAGCCTTAACATTAACAAGCTGAAATAGTGAGAATCCAACTGGAGATTTAAAAGCAGTTCTATAAGCCCACAATGTGTCATCAAGCTTGATAGCCCAATCCTTCCTAGAACTAGCCACTATCTTTTCCAGAATTCTCTTTAACTCTCTGTTAGATACCTCAGCCTGTCCATTGCTTTAAGGATGATACGGTGTGGCGACCTTGTGCCTCACATTATAGTGCTCCAGAACTTTTTGCAATTGAGCATTGCAAAAATGAGATCCACCATCACTCATGAGTACCCTTGGTGATCCAAACCTGCAAAAAATTTTCTTCAAAAATTTTATTACAGTTCTGGCATCATCTTTCTGCACAGCACTAGCCTCCACCCATTTTGAAACGTAATCAACTGCCACAAGGATGTATTCATTCCCAAAAGATGATTGCAAAGGCCCAATGAAATCAATCCCCCAGCAATCAAAAACTTCCACTTCTAAAATGTTTTGCAGGGGTAACTCATGTCTCTTGGAAATTGTCCCTGTTCTTTGACACTTATCACAGCTCTTGCAATGTTCATATGCATCTTTGAACAAGGTTTGCCAATAAAATTCGGATTGGAGAACCTTTGCTGTTGTTCTTTCTCCATTATAATGCCCTCCATAGGGTGAGTTATGACAATGCCAGAGAATATCTCTAATAGACCATCAACACCTATCTTAAACAGATACGGATCATCCCAAACATAGTAATTAAAATCTATGAAGAACTTCTTCCTTTGTTGCTAGTTATACTCCTCCGGAACAACCCCTGCTGCTTTGTAATTTTCCATATCAGCAAACCAAGGTCTTTCACTCACTGCAAGCAACTTTTCATCAGGAAATTCTTCTAAGATTTCTTCTTCTTGACTAGTCACCTGCTCATTAAAAAGTCTTGATAGGTGATCAGCAACATGATTCTCACTCCCTTTTTTGTCTTTGATTTCTAAATCAAACTCTTGTAACAGAAGAATCCATCGGATCAATCTAGGCTTTGAATACGCTTTTGTCAACAAATACTTGATAGCATCATGGTCAATATAAACAGTGATCTTTGAACCCACAAGGTAAGATCAAAATTTTTCTAATGCATACACTATGGCAAGTAACTCCTTTTCAGTTATTGCATATTTAATTTGATTTTCATTCACTTGCATAGTGAATAACATGAAAAATTTTATCCTTCCTTTGGCCCAAAGCAGCTCCTATAACATAATCACTGGCATCACACATTAGTTCAAAATCAAGTTTCCAACCAGGAGCTGTGATTATAGGAGTTGAAACAAGCTTACTTTTTAACAGTTCAAAATCCTGTAAACAATCATGATCAAAATCAAACTTGTTATTTTTAAGAAGAAGGTTACTGAGAGGCTTAGCTATCTTGGAGAAATCTTTTATGAATCTTCTGTAGAATCCTTCATGCCCCAAGAAGCTTCTAATCCCCTTCATGTTGATTGGTGGTGGCAGCTTTGAGATGATATCAATCTTGGCTGGATCTACCTCTATGCCCTTCTGAGAGACTTTGTGGCCAAGAACAATGCCCTCTTTGACCATGAAGTGACATTTCTCCCAGTTCAGCACCAAATTAGTCTCTACACACCTCTTTAGAACAGTGTTGAGATTATCAAGGCAAACTTCAAAGGATGAGTCGAAAACGAAGAAGTCATCCATGAAGATTTCTATGCATTGCTCCACTAGATCAGAAAAAATTGCAAACATGCAACACTGAAAGGTAGCTGGTGCATTATATATTCCAAATGACATTTTCCTATACGCAAAAACACCAAAGGGACAAGTAAAAGTTGTTTTCTCTTGGTCTTCCGGATCCACAAAAATCTGATTGTAACCTGAGTAACCATCCAGAAAACAATAATAAGCTTGCCCTGCTAACCTTTCAAGCATTTGATCCATGAAAGGCAATGGGTAGTGATCTTTTCTTGTGGCTTGGTTTAACTTCCTGTAGTCTATACACATCCTCCACCCAGTTACAGTACGAGTGGGAATCAATTTGTTCTTCTCATTATAAATCACAGTCATACCTCCTTTCTTAGGCACGACCTAAACATGACTAACCCAAGCACTGTCAGAAATAGGATAAATCATACCAGCCTCAAGTAGCTTGGTCATCTCTTTTCTCACCACCTCTTTCTCAAGTAGTGTGTGCATACAATAAGACAGACTAATCCCTTTCAAAGTCCAACCAATAGCACCTTCATTGGCTTTTATCACTTGAATCAATTTATCCTCTTGCTCTTTTGAAAGCTGGCTACTGATTATGATTGGCTTCCCACCATTTTCTTCTAAGAAGACATACTTTAATTGTGGTGGCAATTGTTTCAATTCCAGCTTCACTGTCTGATCTTTTTCTTCCATCTTCAATTCTTCCTTTGACTGAACATTGGTTGATGAGCTTTCACCTTTATTCAATGCATCAACCACATCCTGGACTTCCTTATCTATGACTTTATCCAACTCTTCATCAAACATAAACAAAGCTTTCTCCAATGGTGAGACATTCTTGAAATTGCTTTGAGTTTCCAGATACACGTCATCTAATACATCAATTCTGAAACAATCTTTATTGCCCTTGGGAAACTTCATTACTTCAAAGACATTGAAATTCACCTCTTCATCTTGAACTCTCACATTCAGCTTTCCATCATCCATGTCTATGATAACCTGATCTGTTTTCATAAAAGGTCTGCCTAGAATCAAAGGAACTTCCACATCCTCCTCCATGTCCATGACTACAAAATCAACAGGAAACATGAACTTATCAACCTTCACTATCATATCTTCCACTATACCATGTGGAAGCTTGATTGATCTGCTTGCCAATTGCAAGGTCATTCTTGTAGGTCTTACTTCCACTTCTCCTATCTTCTTCAGCATGGATAAAGGCATCAAATTAATACTGGCTCCAAGGTCTAACAGTGCCTTACCCACTGATAAATTACCAATTGACACTAGGAGAGTGAAACTGCCAGGATCTCTGGACTTCTGACGTAGAGTCTTCTGTATAATAGCACTGCATCCTACCTCGAGCTCCACAGTCTCTTCTTCAAGGACTTTTCTCTTCTTAGTTAACAATTCCTTCATGAACCTAGCATAAGTGGGCATTTGCTCCATGGCTTCAGTGAAGGGAATATTAATCTGGAGCTTCTTTATGATATCTAAAAATGTCAGGAACTGTCTTTCTTTTTCTTTCTTAGAAGGAACATGAGGGTAAGGTAAGTTTCTTACAGGAACAGTTGAAATGACTTCCTTGCCCTTCTTTTTCTTGTTCTCCTTCTCCTCTCCATTTTTTTCTTTTATTTTCTCACTATCTACACTCTCATTTTTATTTCTTTCCTCTTCATTCTTCTCAATCTCTTCCTCAACCTCCCTTAATTCAACATTTTCTTTCTTTTCATTGTTCTCACTCACTCCAACATATCCACCAACTACCTTCCCACTTCTTGTTGTTATTGCTTGGCAACGCTCCTTGGGGTTGGTCTTGGTGTTGGCTGAAAATGGGCCTCCAGACATGTCAGCTAATTATTTAGCTAGCTGACCCACCTGTACTTCCAAATTCTTGATGGAAGCCTCAGTATTTTTCTGGTTGTTCATAGACACCTGCATGAACTGGTTTAGAGTCTCCTCCAATTTACTGGTTCTTTCATGCATACAGGGATACACAGGCTGTTGTTGCTGTGGTTGTTGTGGTGGTGGCCTATTGGATGGTCCAACTTCATTCCTTCATCCATATCCTTGGTTGTTGTTGTTTCTCCAACCTTGATTCCCCTGCATGTAATTGTTAGTATTATAATTACGGGAATTAAAATTACCTCCTTTCTGTTGGTTGCCCACATAGTTGACCTCTTCTTCATTTGAGTTCTCAGAACAGTGACCATTGGGATGTTCTCCCCCACAAAAATCACATTTTAAAGAAACATTTGATTGAGCTGGGGAAGAAGCAATAACATGAAGCTGCTATGGTATTTTGGCCATCTGCTTAGTCAGTGCTTCAATCTGTTGAGATAGCAGCTTGTTCTAAGCAAGGATTGCATCACTTGTACTTAGATCAAGAACTGCTCTTTTACGAGATTGGTGTCTTCCATGCTCTGCTTGGTGATCAGAAGATGCCAAAGATTCTAAAATTTGGGTAGCTTTTTCTAGGCTCACAGTCATCATGGTGCCACCAACTGCTGCATCCAATAACATCTTCACCTCAGGCTTGATTTCCATTAACAAAGAAGTTAAGTTGAGCTATATCCTCAAACCCATGGTTAGGACATTTTCTAAGCAATAACTTAAATCTCTCCCAAGCTTCACAAAATGGCTCATCAGCACCTTGCCTGAAAGTTGTGATTTTTGATTTGGCCTTAATATACTTGGATGATGGATAGAATCTATTCACAAACTTATTTTCCACATCACCCCAGCTTGTCAAACTTTGATTAGGGTGAGATTGTAACCAAACTTTAGCTTTTCCTGTTAGAGAAAATGGAAACAACCTCAAGTATACAGCTTCCTCATCACCTTCAGGTATTCCCATTGTTCCACATAGCTCATAGAAATTTGACAGGTGTGAGTATGGGTCTTCATGATCTAGGCCAGCGAATTGTTGTGAGCTAACCAAAGTAAGGAAGGCAAGCTTCATCTCCATAGCTCTAGAAGTATTTGGAGCTGCAATACTGGAGAAATGCCCAGAACCATGTTGTTGTGCGTAATCACCTAGGGTCCTTCTTGGAGGTCTGGCTGGTCCATGTCCACCATTATGAGTTCCTATTCCCTCTTCAGCCATCTCTGATTCAAGGAATGGTTGATTTGATGAAGTAGAAGAACTCGGAAGATCTTGCTGTTGTTTTTGGAGTCTCTCTAACTGTCTAAGCCTTCTTGTCCTACTGTTGTTCCTCCTTGCCGTTCTTTCAATTTTAGGGTCAAAATGTAATTTCTCGGCTAGAGTTTTCTCTCGCATACAATTTCAAGAAGTCTGCACAGCAAGGTAAGTCCACAAAACACAATAAGACAAATGTATCTATATATTATAAATATTCACAAAATGAATTATTTACACAATTACAAAATCGAAAGAACAAGAATTACTAAATTGCACCAAATCCCCGACAACGGCGCCAGAAACTTGATGAGGTTTTTTGCGAACTCTCCACTTAGGAAGCAGACCAAGTTTTGTTGTAGAAATACGGTATCGTCCTCAGGGATTTGAGAGTTCAATAATTCCTACTCTAATGATTAATAAAAGAGACGTTGATGAGATTGGTATTGAACTAATGTGAAGTAAAATTGAAACGATTGTGTGAAAATTATAAGAACAATTATATGAAACAAGGATTGGACCCAGGAGCACTTGCTAACTCTCAAATTTTCTTAAAATAAATATGATTTCAATTTCATTACCTCCACGTTCATTTAGTAATCCAACAAGATTCCTCAAAGTCGAATCCTAAAGTGATTAATCTAAAACATGATTCCTCTATGTTTGAGACTAACACTTTGCATTAAGAACAATGACTTGAACACAAGTGACTAACCATATCAAGTCTATCCCTAGAACAAGAGATGGTTAGTTGCAAGATATAGTTCGGATTTTCAAAAATGTTTTCCAACAGGATTCAAAAACCAAAGATTCATACAACGGTTGATCAAGCTGATATAAGCATTAAAAGTAGAATCAAGCACAAGAAATGAAAATGAAATGCATATAAAGATTCAAGAAATAGAGGAGTTAGTAGTTACACTAGGACCAATCCTCAATGGGTTCAGCCACACATGGCCATTACAAGATAAGAGAAGTGAAAGAAGAGATTACAAAGTAGAAAATGAAGAAAAGAGGTTGATCTTCGTTCCCAAAGGATCCAACTTCCAAGTCTTCGTTCCTACCCTATTTTCTCCTCTTCGCGTGCTCTAAATCTTGCTTTATCTCTGTTTTCGTGATATCCCCCTATTTTCTTAGATTTCCCTTTTTATATGAGCTTTTAAAACAGGGGAAAAATGATTTTTCCTCCCACAGCTACAGCTGTAAATCCACAGCTATGGCTGTGGAGAGTCCTTCAAGGTGAAGTAACCTCCAACGCTGCAGTTACAGATCCACAACCATAGCTGTGGCAAATCCTTCATGGTGAAGTAAGTCCCAGCACTGCAGCGGTGAAACCATAGCTATGGCTGTGAGTTTCTAAAACTTTTATTGAGTCCTAGGTGCCCCATGGCTTTAACTGTGAGTTCATAGCTTTAGCTTCAAGTCTCTGGACCCTTAAATTTGCAATCCAGATTTCCACAGCTATAGCTGCAGAATCACAACTATAACTGCAATTTTCTGACCTCCTAATTCCTTCCCAGATTTCCACAGCTCGAGCTCCAAATCTACAGCTATGGTTGTGGATCTCTACCTTCTCAAATTTTCTGCACAAATAGAGGAAATTCATTAAGATTTTGCTACTACTCTTCTACCTTTTTAGTATAACTTGATTCTTCCAATTTAGGAGGTAAAATAACATATATAAATATCTACAATTACCAAAAAGAGTACCAAAAGTTGAGTGTAAATAAAGAATAAAAGACACTCAACAGACATAAATTATTAAATAATTTTCAAATTTTTTAAAACTTTGCAAACTTGATTTATGCATCAAGAACTTTTAATTCAACGGTTGAATCATTAAAATTTGATGTAAAATACAAGTTATTGAGTAGATTTAGTCTATTTTATACATATTGTTTATTTCATAAATATCTATCTGCACACATGTAAAGGTTATTTATTACAACTTTTGTTCCTTTATAATAGTTTTACACAAATCAAAAAACATAATAAAGTTTTCTAATTTTCATAAAATAATCTCCATATTTCTTATTATACTCTCTTTCATTTTTACTTCATAACAATTATATATCAGTTGTCATACATAAATTAATTAAAAATTAAAAAATATAAAAATATAATTAATATTATTGTCTTAAAATTTACAAATATAAATAAATAAAAACAAAATCTTACTATAAATCGAATAGATAAAGAAAAAGAGAGTGAGAATAGTACATATCTTAAACAAAATAGCCTAGTCGACAATAGAAAATAGTTTAGGCTCATGATATATACACCTCTTTTTTTATAAGTACACCTCCTTTATTTTTTTTAAATAATATAATATTTGTAGTTTTTTTAAAAAAATTTCCCCTAATTTTATACCTCCAACTCATCTTTTTCACACACTTTTTTTTTTCTTTCAATTTTCACATGCATCATTTCGTCTTTTTTCAATTTCTCGCCTATTTTAGCTGGTAGTTTTAACTCTCTTGATTTTTACATTATTCTTTTTTCTCCTAACCTCTTTCACTTTTTCATATATACCCACACCGTAAAAATGGTACGCGACAACATTGTAAGTATGTGTGACTTCCTCGACAATTTTTTACCGAATTAGACACATTTTTTTCTTCCAATACTTCCTCTCCTTTTACCCCTTCAAAAACCTTAATACTAAGTTTAATGTTATGAATAAAAATATTTTCACTATTCCAGAGTACTGTGCAGGATAGTGAAATTAGTGTTCTAGAAAGATCTTTCTATTGTGTTTTTTTTTTTTTACATATTTTCGAAAAGTACTTTCCGAAATAATATGTAAAAAAATACAATCAAAATTGTTAAGAAAGCCACACACACCTATAATATTGTTGAAAAGTAGTTCTACATTTTGAATGTGTGTGAAACTAAAAGCGGGAGAGGGGAAGAGAATAATGCAAAACTAAAAAAAATAAAATTAGCTATCAAAATAAGTGGGATGAAGGAAAGGTAAAGGATGCATGTGAAAATTGAAAAAAGGAGGAAAGATGTGTAAAAAAAGTATTAAATTAAATTTTGTGGGTGTAAAATTAAAAAATTTTATAAATTAAAAATTCAAAATATTTAAAAAAATTTAATTATTTTTTAAAAAAAGTAGGTATAATTTAAGAAAAAAAGAGGTATATATATCGTGAACCAATAGTTTATTGGTTCATGATATATACACCTTCTTTTTTCTATAAGTACACCTCCTTTTAAAAAAAATTAAAATTTTAAAATATTCTAAATTTTTTGTTTAAAATTTTTTAATTTTACATTCACAACATTTAATTTAGTACTTTTTTTTCACATATCTTTCCTTATTTTTTCAATTTTTACATGCACCCCCTTATTTTTCCTTCACCCCACCTATTTTGGTAGCATGTGAAAATTGAAAGAGAAAAAAAAAGTGTGAATAAGAAGAAAAAAGTAGCAAATTGAAAGTTGAAAGTGAAAAAATAAATTTTTTTAAAAAAATTATAATATTTTATATTTTTTTTTAAAAGAAAGAGGTGTTCTTATAAAAAAAAAAATGTATATATAGCCTAGTTTATTTGAAGATGGCGATGAGTTACCGCTAAGTCCGGAAATAATATTGGGCCGTTTAATAAGCCCATCTTCATAACTGAAGCGGGATCCTGGTTTCGTTGGTGCCCCAGTTTCAGTGTGTGCAGTGGGAGAAAGCTAGCAAGCTGGGGTTTAGGGTTTAGTGAACATGACCAAGTTCAGGAAACTCGGTCGACCCACCGGTCACCGAATGTCCATGCTCAGGTTACTTCATGATTTCAGTTTCATTCCTCTTTATGCAAATTAAGATGCTGAATCGTCGCTTCCCATTTCTTTAGAACCATGGTCTCGCAGTTGGTGAAGCACGAGCGCATCGAAACTACTGTCGCCAAGGTACGGATCAAAGCGGCGTCGTTTACCACTCTCACTCTCTCAATTTCGGAATTTTTATTTTATAATTTGGTCGCAGGCGAAAGAGATCAGAAGACTCGCGGATAATATGGTGCAGCTTGGAAAGGAGGTTTGTATGCGTCTCTTTATGATTCTAATGTGGTTCATGTTTTTGTAGCTTCTTTTGATTTGTGTAATTGTGTTTGTTCCGAGATGAATTTTATTGAGGGGTTGAAATTGTTTTAGGGATCCCAATGTGCTGCGAGACGTGCTGCTAGTTTTGTGCGAGGAGATGACGTCCTTCACAAGCTCTTTACAGAGCTGGCTTATCGCTATAAGTAAGTAATAAACATGATTCCATTTTGATTGCTGTATGTGACAGTAAGATGTAACACTGACCAGAGATTATGTTATGCAGGGATAGAGCTGGGGGATATACCAGATTGCTTCGAACCCGAATCCGAGTCGGTGATGCTGCACCAATGGCCTATATCGAGTGAGTACATTGCTACTTTCTTTTTGATAGTCTAGTTTTAGACTCATTTTTTTAGGTTCTGTTATTTGGATAATCTGCTTGATTTCACTTAAGTGATTTTTTTCTCATAGTTCTTGATGTTGCCTGCCTGCGTAATATATTTTTTGTTGTCAGAGTTTAATTTTCAAATCTTCAAGGTTGCTTAAATTGAGGTTGAAATTGAAACTTTTGGTAAAAATAATTATGTGCTTTGATACAGGTTTATTGACAGAGAGAATGAGCTTAGGCAGTCAAAACCACCAACTCCTCAACCACAACAGAGAGCACCCCTTGATCCCTGGACACGTTCTCGTCTCAGCAGGCAATTTGCACCTCCTAAAGAGGAAAAATCTGGATCTGATTTGTGAATTATTCAAATGTAATGCCGATACTCTGTTTTCCCCGCATGGTGTGAGATATCTGAATTTTGGTCTTATTGACATATGGTTTGAAAAAATATAACTATTCTATGCTTATTACTAGAGGAGACTGTTCATTGCTAGGTAAAAATTAATTTGACTGAACCTGTAACTGATAAAGTAAAAGAAAAATTTCATAACACCATTATCTCTATGAGTTTTGATAGAGTTTGATTATTTTGTTTTAATTGGAACTTTGATAGTTTTATTTTAATCCCAGTAAGAGAATGAAATTCAGCCTAGCGAGGGGAAAAAAGTTAAATGAATTGACTTGTACTTGATTCGAGAACTTATGAAATTCTGATCCTTCCTCATTTGGTATCTATAGCCTAAATCAATAACTTAATGCGCAACCTTGTAATGTGATCAATGCGTGGAGGCACTACCAAGTTCAGTCAAACTGTCAAAGTTGCTGATCGTTCCACAGGAGCAATATGAAATATTTAAGGGATATTTAACAAGCAATATGGGAGGGATACTTAACACACTGATGAATTCAATATTGGATAGTTTTTAGTGAGAGAATTTTCAATATATTCTGAGATAGCGGACGAATAAACCATTGACTTGTTCAAGAATGAGAGAGAAAGGATGTGTTACCTTATGTAGTAAGTTTCACTAGATACAGTATTTGGCTATTTGCTCAATGTACATTAAGACATATTGAAGAAAACTAGTGCAATACACATTGTAGTTTTGATATACTTTTTGAAAATTTACGAGATGCATTGGATGTTATAGATGTGTACAAATTCCATCTTCATGGTTACTGGATAATAGTCCTAGCCTTTGGAAGATTGTTCGGGAGAGCTAGAGTCTTGTCTGAAGATTAAAATTTATTAAAAATAAACTTGACAACAAATTTGAGGCTTTGGTGTATGCTCTCTTTATTTATTGAACCAATTAGTAATGGATGACCAAGAAAAGTCTCTCTGTTTTGAGGCTTCCAAGCTCGTGGAGACATTGCTAAAAGATTTATGCACTATTAAGCAATGCTAAGGCTGTTCTAATGGTATAAGCAAACAGTATCAAGCCTTAATAAGTGTTTGGCACATTGAAGTGGATGGAAATTGCCTGACTCACTCTGTTCCACCAATAAGATTTTGCCATATCCATGAAAAATTCAGGTGACTTGTTTCCATTCATAGTCCCAATTTTGTATCTCTCTTTTGCTCCCTCGCCCTCTCCAACTCTCCCCTGTTGTGCATCACTGCACTAGCCGGTTGCACAACTACACTGTCCCTGCTGTCTAATTCGACAACTCTATCGACCCCTTTTGCGTTGCACACAATATTATATGAAACGCTGTCACAGAGGACTGCATCTCACACAAGGTGTCCATGTTGTGGAGGAGGTGATGGATGAGGGGAGGTCGTGGGCGTGGGTGGATAAGGTGGTGGTGGTGTTGAGTATCTTGGCGATTGTGGAGGAAGGTGAGAGGAGCAAAATTGGGATTGTGAATGGAAACAAGTCACGTGAATTTTTAATTTATGTGGATAGAGTGTGACAAGTGATTTCTATCCAATTGAAGTGATAATAAGTCAAATATAGTTGATGTTTTTTGTCCCAATGCAACCATATAAGCATATCCTTTTCTTAGGACTTAGATATGACCTGATAGGATATTCATTCAACCTCACCTCTTGTCTCCCACACCTTCAAGTTTCCCTATTATCATGGCCATTGCCTTTGATTTTGACCACCACTGCCAGTGTTTTCTCATTAAATTTTGTTTCCTTGTTAATCTGATGTCATCAGGGAATTCATACATTTCCACATTCCTTGACCTGACTGGCAGTTTTAAGGTTCATTTTGTAAACTTCTGCAAGTCTGTTTACATCAGTTGAAATTTCCTTTGATTGAGGAAATAAAGAAAGGTGTGGTGAAATGAGACGGATTTATAAAGCCATATACTGGACTGTTTAATAGGTCATGTATAACTTTATTTTTTTATAAAGCCATATACTGGACTGTTTAATAGTATTCTTTCCCTCGTAAATGGCTCTATTTACTATCTGTATAGTGAATCTACGGTCTGTACGTAAATAGTGTTCAACTGAGTGATCATTTCACTCGAGTATTTTTTACCCACAATCAGTGTCAAATATTTCCTCCTAAAATCTCTAGTAATGACCAACCTCTTGTATTAGTCCTTTTATACTATTAGGCTTTATATTGCCTCTTATTGCTGGGCATTATGCCCAACTGCATTTTGTCCTTTTAGTCAATTCCTGTCATGGAGCTACTATAGGGTTACAGGTCCAGCCATTTTTGCTTTGAACAAAATCATGTATCTCCAAAATTTGGATTTTAAACTTGAAGTTTGAAAATGGTGTGAGACCCGTGGCTTGTTTTCTCATTTCTCCCTCTCAACTCTCAAACTCTCGCTCCCTTCTTCTCTTTTTGCTTGCTTTGCTCCCATTTTCCTTGTGGTGACATTGGTTTGAAGGTGCTGATTCTTAGAGTTTGGACTTGCTGAGGTGTAGACGTTCCTTTTCTTCTCTTCCCCGTTCAAGCTCTTCTTCAATCTTCTTCTCCGTTTCTTCTTCCCGGAGCTCGGATTCTCGCACCAAGGTAAGGGAAGCTAGTTTTGGCTGTGTCGATTGTTGGGAGTGAGCTATAAACTCACTTGATGGCTGATTATTGCGGATTGATGGCTGAGATTGCTGAAAATGGAGTTTAAGGGTTTTCGGGGTTTTGGAAGAAAATTCGGGTTTTCTTTGTTTGATGATTTCATGTGTACAAAGATGGTATTTTTGAACTCTTTGATGAAAATGTGACATTTTGGCTGGTTTGCATGTGCTTGGGAAGTTGATTTTGTGCAGGTTTTGGCAAAATTTTTGAAGTTTGTGAGTTGCTGCTGGGTATCACGCCAGGCGCAGTTCTTCGCACCGGGCGCATAACCACCAAAGGGCTCCATTGGGCAAGCCCGCTAGGCGCAATGGTGTATGCATCGGGAGAGCTTGAGAGTGTGAGCCTCTGGATGGCCCACGCCGGGTGTGGCTTGGACCGCGCCGGGCGCGATATCAGTGTGTAATATGTTTTTGGATTTTCTGATGTCGTGCCTGGCGTGACCATGTCTCGCCGGGTGTGGGTACTCATTGGAAGTCTCTGTCAAGGAGCGCCGGGCGCAATTGGTATTGTGTCGGGCGTGAGACTTTGGGGTGGTCTCTGTCCTCCTTGCGCTGAGCGCGGGTTTGGGTGCCGGGTGCATGAGACTCCTCAGAGTCTCTGGCTAGGTTTGCGCTAGGCGCAATTGGTTTTGTGCTAGGCGCGTTTGAGCCTTGGGCTCTCTGGATGGTCTACGCCGGGCGCGAGTACTCTTGCGTCGGGCGCGCTGGTCCCTGGTGCCCTCTAGTTGTGCCACGCTGGGCGCGACCATGAGTGCGCTGGGCGTGGGTGTTATGGTTACATATGTGATGTTAAATGATGATTAAGGTTGAATTATGCTAAAATTGTTGTTAGATGATAATGCTGAATTATGATATTGCTGTGCTGTGAGCTGTTTAAGCTGTGTTGTTTATTATTGAGCTGTGTCGCATGCTGATATATGATGAATTGTTGTGCTGTGCTGCATGCTGATATAAACTGTTGTAGGCCGTAAGGCTGAGCTGTTGTAGGCCGTAAGGCTGAGCTGTTGTAAGCCGTAAGGTTGAGCTGTTGTAGGCTGTAAGACTGAGTTGTTGTAGGCCGTAAGGCTGAGCTGTTGTAGGAGATCTCCGAGCTGATATGCGTGACGACGCATTGTGTGTTTACTGTTGTTATTGCTGAATGATGTATGCTGTGATATACTATATGCTGATATTGCTGAACTAGATGATATGTTGTTAGATATAGCTGACTATAATTATTGTAGTTATATGTTTATATGCTGATTCTTTTCACTAGCTTACCCTTTGTTATTTCCATGTGGTTTGGACTGCGATGATCATACGTTGTATGGGAGCAGAGCAGGGTTAGGTTGGTGTCAAGAGGCAGGTCTGCAGCTGGCAAATGGAGTTCTTGTTAAAGACATTTTGATAAAGAAGGTTTTGGCTATAATCCTTATTGGAAAAAAAGACATGCTAGATTTCTCTTTTTTTGCTTGAAAAGCTTGAAAATGGTTCAGCCCGTAGAGCTCGTTTGACGCATATCCAGAGACGGAGGTAGCCTTCATTGATGGATAATATACTAGTTATTCTTTTGATGTTTTGTTGTTTTTGGGACACTAGTTTGGCTACCTTGGACTGTATTTTTACTCTGATTTATTCAGGCCCCAGATTAGACCTTGTGTATATATTGTAGTTGCTTATATATATATATGCACACTCTTTTCTGTGTGGTGTTGTGGTGTTGAACTGTGTGTGGCGGCCAGGCGGGTCGTTACAAATGGGACGTAAAAGTAGAGAATTGGTGAAAGGTTAAGTTTTAATCTTCGCTTTGAGCATTCGAAAAGATGGAAAATCAAACGAGATTCAATTCTCTTTCTTATTACACTTGAAATTCAAAAGGAATAGAAATATTTGTAAATTGTCTCCAATCCATTTATAATTTTTTAAAGCTTAACATGAATGTGTGAATAAAACTTGTTAAACTTTTTTTGTTTAGCATAAAATTTATTAGAAATGGATTGACCAAAATCTAGCCTAAGAGAGGAGGATTACTTTAGTCTTATTGTAGGGATTGCTTTGGCCAGATATGAGACATCTTAACACACCCATCATACTTAAGATCAAACATTTGGAATGGGAAGTTTCCATGACTAAATATTTATTTGTAAAGCTTGCATGACTAAATATTTAATAGTGATCTAACATTAAAATTGGACAGACCTTAACACTATATTAGAAATGGACCGGGCTTAACTAAACTCTAAACACTAAGTAGGTACCGGAGGATTAATCCATGTCGATGGTATCTTAACAAAATCTATACTTGATTTACTGGCTTTACATTTGCATCAAAAGAATACCTGATTTTCATATGAAATTATAAGTGAAATAGATTAGTATGGATGGAGTGTGCCTCTTAATTATGACAATATGCATTGATTTATCCTCTGAAAAAATTGAAAATATATTATTTTCATCCCTTTACTTTCGTATATACCAAGTATAGAACTTGAATATACAACAATTGACTGTCCTGCAGTCAATTATATCCACATGAAATGCTGGAATTTTGAGCCAGTGGTTTCTGTCTGTAAAGCTTCTTTAGGATTAGCTAGTTTTTCTTGTTTTCTGCTCATGTTTCGTTTGATTGATGTTTCTCATGTGAGTCATATCTCCTTTTTCCTTGTTTTTGGGAGGATTTGGGATAGATAGTCTTCTTTGGGATAGACAGTCATGTTCGTATGCCCTTGCATACTTATGGTATTACGTGTAGCTTCTTTAATTCTTTGTTTAATAAAGTTTCCAATTCTTTCTAATGGGCAAGAAATGAAGAAGACAAGGTTTTGAAGTGGTCCCTTTCTCCTCTGCACTAGCAATGCCAAAACTCAACATTTTCCCCACAACTAAAAGCAAATGGATAGAACTAGGATGCGCAAAATCTGCTTCGTCATGATCCACAATACAAGCGTGCAAGAACATAACCTTTACATTGCTTTGCTTGCAATACAGTATACGTACTGCCTCACGTCTCCATATTCCTTTCATTTTCCTTATCTCATATCATATGTATAGAGTATAAAGAATTCTATATTGGTCAATGGGTCAATATATTTGTTTCTTTATCGTAATTGTAATGCATGGGATGTTGTACCAGGCATACGTAGCGATGGGTGCAAGGCTTCCTTATTACTATAGCAAGTCTTTCCCATGCTTTAAGGTACAAGCCTGTTTGGTTGTAATACTGCCACGTGTTCTGCCTTGGCCACTAACATATAATTTGAATTGTTTTCCCTTTTTTGTTAAATCATTGCGGGTGATGCTATCAATAATTGTTTAAAACATTGAATTAGCTACTTACCCTTCCCAACAATTTTACCTAGCAATTTTTTTTTCTAACCCTTCAAAAGGGTGTGGAACTAGGGGAAAAGAAAGATATGGAAATAAAAGAGAAAAAAAGGGAGAGAAAAAAAAATGAGATGTTATATTTGATGTTATTAGAAAAGAAAGAATGAGTGAAAAATAAATGTAAGAGGCCCTTTAGAGAACCGGATATATAAGTAGTCATTTTAAATCTAAAGGTGAGTCACACTGAGAACTTTTTGTAAGGTAAAGTTTAGTTTTTTTTTTTTTTTTTGTGTGTGTGTGTGTAATAATGAAAAAGTTGACAGATAAGTCATTCACTGCCATTTTTAAGAACCAAGTATGTATGAAATATATATTTTTAAAAATTTCTTAAATTGTATGTCTCGAGTGCAAAGACTAAGACACGTAAAAGTAAAACAAATCTGGAGGCAGGAGGGAACAGAGGAGGTCAACTGGTGCAATGTTCCTTTTCAGATTAATAAGAAATATTTTTTATTTCAGTTTATTAACCTTTTCATTGCAGTTTTGACGACTTTTGGTAGTGCCAAGACCATGGTTTGGTGAAATAGTCTATAAAAGGACACTCAAACGAATGTCATCAATTTGAAGAATATTTTTTATTATAATTGCTTTATAAGAATGAAAATAAAGCAAAAATAATAAACACGTGTCATGTGTAGTTGTCTTGGCAGCTGATTAGGTGTTTGATGTTGCCATCCAGTTTCTTCAAATGCAGATGAACTTCATTAGCATGAAACATTAAGAGAATTTTTTAACAATGATAAGAGTGTTTACCTACTAAGGATATGCAATTAACTTAAGGCATTTTTGGAAATAAGAGAAAATTAGGGAGAGAATTTAAACCCTGTAGAACAATTGAAAGCCTTTAGCTAGGGATGGATATAAAAGTAAAAGCGTTAATGATGTATTTGGATGAGGAATTTTACAAATTCAAGAAATTTTAAATTCTTGATATTTGAATTACTTTGATTTCAATATCTATCATTCTTAAAATATTTTGTTGGATAAGTCGATTCAAATTTCTCAAATTTTAAATTGTTGGGTTGGATATGATAATTCGATTCCACCATGGTAAAATTGCTTTTAAAAATAATTTATATGTTGAGATTTTTAAATTAAATTTTATAAAAATAAATATTAGCTAATTTTTAAATATTTATAATAATTTAAAAAATTAATATTAGATAATATTTAATAATTTTAAAAATATTTTTGAATATTAAATAATTAAAAACATGAAGAGATAAAAGATAAGATAAAATATATAAGTGAAATAAGAAGAAAAAAAATACGAGAAATTTCAAATTCTTACTTTTTTGGGAGAATTTGAAATTCTACTATTTCAAGAAATTTTACAAATGCTTGAATTTCAAATTCTTTATAAATTTTCCATCCAAACAAGGTACTTCACCTCAAAAAATTTAAAATTCTTCAAATAAATGAATTACTCCATTTAAATTCTCCATTCAAACACACTATAAAAGTCTTCGTTTGTTAAAGGCATTTCCCTATAATGGTAGAAAATAGGAACATGTGGTCACCTTTACTCTCAATCCAATGAACAATTGTTTTCATTAACCTAATCCCTTTCAAGTAGCAACAACTCTCACTAAAGCGACAATTATTCTTTATAGTAAATGCTTTTAATAACAAAAAAAAAACGATTTAATCTGGACCAATGATAAGTCAAAAGATAATGTAATAGTAAACTCACCTTCTCTTTTCACGGAAATAGCAAGAATAAATTAAGGGGACTACGTGTTTGCATATTAGGCACCTTAATCATTAAACTGCTATTAGTTTGGATGAATAATTTTGAGAAATTTTAATTACTTTTTGTACTTGAAAGGAGTAAAAGATATCTTAGAAGCCATTGCAAATTAAGACCATGCATACTTTGCTGACTATTTACTATTTAGTTCCACAGCCAATTAGGTCAATGGCATTGTTATGTCTCTTTTGTATTATAGTGGCTTGTCAACTAGAAATTAATTGTTGATAGCTTATAAAATAATAGTTGATATTAATTACGTACAAGGAGTGTCAATGTTTCCATCTCTATGCTTGATATTATTTTCATTTTAAATTTATATAAAATTTTATATTTTATTTTTTAGTAAAAGAACATTTACAAATTAATCTTTATCTTAATGTTATAACAGTTATTAAATTTAGTCTCTTTTAATATTTCTTTTTAACATATATTACACTTCACTTTGGTTTCTAAATGAAAAATATTTTATATTTGATGTTTATATGGACATCTCTCTCTCTCCTTTTTTTTTTTCCTTAGTGTTTATATAAGGGATTAAATATATTTTTAATCAATGTAAATAGGTAAATGGTCAATTTTAAGAAAAATAAACTATTTCCTTTTGATATCTCATTTATGAAAATGTGTTGAATGTAGTTCTTGTCCTTCACTAAACATAATCTCTTTTTGATCTTTTGTTTATATATAAATGAGTGATAAAAAGAAAAAGAAAAAGAGACAGTATATAATACTTAAGTAATTTCGGCAAACAGTTTTTTATAAATACAAAAGGATTTTTATATTTTGTAGGAATTATAATAAAAGAAATGTTGAGTGTAAGACTAAGTTATTAACTTAATTATGGTAAAAGTTTTTTCTGGTCCAATGAAAGTGGAAAAAAAAATAAAAAAAGAAAAGAAGTTGAGATTGGGCAGAGTTGGTGAGTACCAAAAACTAGAATGAAACTGAAAGATGAAGGAAAAAATATTCTGGAGGACGTTACTCCGTCTATATTGACTCAAACGCCCCAACAATGCCATCATCAACTCTTTCTCTCTATTCTATTCTTCACAAGCTCTCACATCTCTCTTTCTCTCTTTGTGCTTCTCAACAACAACATTGCCTATATCTTCTTGGTTCATGCGTTTTGGTAAATAACAACGTTTAATTTGGTCTTCTCACAATTCTTATGTTTTTGCCTGCTGGACTAAATTTACCATGTACTATGTAGCTACTTCTTGTCTTTTCCTACTTTAATTTGACACTTCTATGATTCTATCAACTTCTTTTTCCAAAATACACTGAAAACCAATCCTGATATTGCAACTTCAAGATGAGAAACACCTTAATCTGATATTAAAGTTGTTTGTTGGTTTAGATGTTTCATTGCATGCCCCTGTAGCTGAATAGTTAATAATATGAGAGGAACAATGGGTACTTCTCCTCATGCCGTTGAAGCTCGACACCGTTTGCCAGCATCCATGTGAGTTTATTTCTTCTTCCCTGCTTTTCACCCTTTCTCTTGTTGGATCACAAGATCAGGTGTTTTTCTTTCAACATAAAGCAATTCCCCACTAGCTTCAATGGTTGCTAGTCCAAATGATCATGTTTCCTGCTGGGACCGATTATCATAATTCTTAAAACATGGATTTTAACCCTATCTCAACTCTAAAGATTCACTTGTGAAGTAAGTTATTCTAACTATTCAATCCATGTAAGATCTCTATCAATGTAACGAGATGAAAAGTCTAATTTAATGTTTTTCAAAAATTTAATTTAAATATATTTACAACGATTAACAAGTTGTTAGTTCGAGTAATACTAAATTTAGTCTCTTTAAATTATTAGCAATAGTAAACTTATATTATAGTGATGATAGATAGATATACCTTCAGTTTAATTAAATTATTAGTATATATTTAAAAATATTATATTTTATAGTTCTTAATTTTATATGTTAATTTCATGGATGATCATTTTTTATATTTATATTTTTTTCTTTATGTGTATAATATGGTGGGTAATGCATGGTTCTTCTGCCCCTCTCCTTCAAAAGCTTTCTTTAAAGCTTCTTGTACAACCTAGTTCTTCATCTTGTTGCGAAAGGAATTGGAGTACTTATTCCTTCATTCACTCCCTGAAAAGAAATAAGTTGAATCCTAAAAGAGCAGAAGACTTGGTTTATGTACATACTAATTTGCGACTCTTGTCTAGGAAAAGTGAAGAATATATGCAAGGGAGTACTAGAATGTGGGACATTGGTGGAGATGCATGGGGTAGCTTTGATGGTGTTGAAAATCTTGAAGTGGCGTCATTATCTCTTGATGAACCAGAAATGGAAGCTGTCTTATTTACAGATGATGGTCAAGGAGGGGATGAAATTGATACTATTCCTATTTCTCGACAATAAAAAAATGATTTATAATTTTTTTAGTAATGTTTACAAATTAAAAAACAAGAAATGTTTTCTTAATTTTGATTTTTGAATGATATTTATTTGCAATTACAATTTTATATATATTAATTTATTTATTTTTAATACGTATCCTAAACGTATCGTATCCTATATTTTCAAAATTTGACGTATCGTCGTATCGGATACGTATCGTATCCGATACGCGTATCGTATCCGTGCATCATAGGGGACAACCTATATGGGATTGGGATATCAGCTGGTTAAAATACTTCAGAGTTTATTGTTTGTCTTTTAAAACTTATCTAATGTTGTTTTGGTGCTGAATTTTCAATTGAAGGTAGCATTTTGGAATTTTGATAAAAGTCTAGGAGGACTTGTCACTTGGCTGAGGCTATCTTTTGGAGAGCTTGAAGATCAAACACCAAAAAGATGAGTGAAACATTAGAAGATGCTCTTACGTTAATGAGTTAATTAAATTATTAGTATATATTTAAAAATATTATATTTTATAGTTCTTAATTTTATATGTTAATTTCATGGATGATCATTTTTTATATTTATATTTTTTTCTTTATGTGTATAATAATGATGATTATTATTTTTTTTTTAAAATTATTCTCACTAACTTAAGCTAATCTATTAAAGCTTCTTCCTGAATTATGGTTTGCAAGCTGTCATTAAAACTTTTTTATTATTGCCACAGCAATGTGTTATTAAAAGGCAATGCAGTTGTTTTCCATAGCCTTTTAAATAGGTTTACATTTCACCTTATAACTAGGACCCATCTTTATATTATATGATGTTCTGTTCAAGGATAAAAAGCTATATCTCTTTTGTCTTCCTTTCTCGTAGGATTTCTTTTTGGTGAATCTTTCATCGGATTTTTTTTTTTCTGTTTTAATTCGATTTCGACTAGGTTAGGACTTAGGAAGCACACATGCTTCAAATTAGACACTTGACTAAATACTTCAATCTTCGTTGTTATATTTCTTGAGTTTTTATATCAACGCGAATAAAATATTAGAATAATTTGAAAAAAAGTATTGTTTTAACTAATGCTTGCTTAAAAATATTAAGGATTTGTTAAGTTTGAGAAAGGGATTTTTTTTTATTTTTTTATTTTTACTTATAATTATGAAAATGACGACACTTTAAATGTTTTCGCCATTTTCTGATTACCTATTAACACGTGAAACAAATTTGTAAAAGGTGACGGATTACCTATTTTAATAAAAACAATTATAAAAAGCTCGCCTTATTTTAAATTTGAATTTAAAATTATGTGACCTGTTTATAATTATTATTCAAATAGGAAATGAAAACAAAATTTTAGTTTTTAAAGCCAAATAGGTTTAATTTGCTTCTCTCTTTTAATTAAATATACGTATTTTATATATATCTAAGCTTAATTTATGTTAATTTTGTACGATGTACCATAATTGTGTTATATCTTATAATTTATAAAATTTGTTAGATTTTTTTGTTGTTGCCATTCTTATATTATATCATGATGTCTAGTATCTATATATGTTTCCTAGTAACCAAGGTAAAATTGGAACAAAGACCTAATTGAAAGAAACTGCGTGCTACATAACTTAATTCTATCATCATGCATGCACCTAGTTGGATTTGAAGTATTTCGTAACGCTGTCAAATCCTTTTCAAAACAACTGGAAGGACCTGCGTAGAGTTAACATTTTGTGCGATCCGTACACCCTTCATATTTTTTGGAAATGACAATGACATTTTATCTCTAAATATTTCATATTTACGGTCGAAGAAACCTAACTAGGTGGCAACCACTTCCATATTTTTCTCCCTCGAAAATTTCATGCTTTCGTGCAAAATGTATATAGCCAAGGATTTAGCTTTATCTGCGTTATCAGGTCTGTATCAACAGTGAGTCACGTAGGGAGCAATATTCCTACGACGGACCAACTATATATTTTAGGTTAATTACTGTTATTATTAAATAAACACAAGAATGTTGCTTAAACAAACTATCCTTGATCAACACGCTATGATTTCATTCGAGTTAATTACATTAAAATTTCTTGCAAATGATTCGATTCTATACAATTGGTAACAAGAGAAAGTGCAACAATCAGTTTTACACTTGAAACTTGGAGGGTTTTTGCATATTTTAAAATTATGGGGTCCCATGTGAGTTTAAAATAGATAGAGTAGCAAGAATCATAATTCATAATTGTTTAACATGCTCACTACTTTATTGAATTGTGTCTGTGAACCTTTGATTGCACACACACACCACACACATAGTGTATGAGTACATTTGCTGTATTTTTAGTTTCTGGTATGAGTTCATACTCTAGAATCAGAAGTTATGAGATGTTTCAATCCGTCAATGCCTTTTGAGTTCCTTAAACCACATCTGTAGGCCCAATAATGAATCAGTTATGCTTGCGTAGAGCTTAAGAAATTGTGATTATAAGATTTGGAACAGAATGATTACTGTATGAGACTGATCAATATTCTTTTTAGATTTTACTTGATCTTAATTAGGTGAAAAATTGTATCTATTTCCTAAACATAAAAGAGGTGTATAAATTAATCGTGACGGTGATTCCTCTTGTGGCCCTTAGTTTTAAGAGGATTTTGGTATATTATTTTATTTAGTCAATGAAATTATAATCAGTACGTGTGTTTTGTTGCCTCATTAGATCCAGTTTAAGTGGTCTTAATTTTTTTAATTTGTACTTTGGTCTCAAGGTCATAATTGCAGCTTTTTTAAAACATGGTATTGTTCTATCTGTGTATTCGACTGGTAATGAAGTTTATGATATGATATTCTTAAAAATATCATATAACATTACATTCTAATTGAACATCACCATTATATTTAAGTAACGAGAATACACGCAATTCATAATTTTATTGATTAAATAAATAAACAAAAAAGACATCAAAAACCTCTCAGTACCGGAGAAATCACCTAATTTAATTTAATTCATATACTAGACACCAATTTTTAAGTCCTTAGCATTAAAAAACTTCACATTTTGTTTGCTACATAAAAAATGTTTAAGGGTCAATTCCAACTGTTATTAACACTTTAAATAAATGTATATATAAAAAACACTTAACATAATGCTTAATTGTTTAATGTTTGTCCTAATACTTGAACTTTTAAACATTAACCAAAGTGTTGGGACTGATCCATTCATGTTCATGAAAAGACTAAAATGTATGTTTTTTTCTTCCTATAAAAACCAAATCCAAAATGTTAAAGTAAAAAGGCCAAATTTTTAATTGACTTATTAAAACCTGTAAACGTCGATGGACAAAGTTAACACAAAATTTTCCCATTCTAATAATATTAGAGTTGAGGCTAAGGTTGACTTGTCTATTAAGCCAATAAAACTCATATTTGCAATTGTTTCTTTTTTTCTTATATATAGTAAATTTGTTCTTGAATGATCACGTGGTACAGTGAAGATTTATACAAACGAAGACTGCCAAGAAGCAAAGCAAAAGATGCAGAGAAGCCTTTCCACTTATCAATCCAAGATAGGAGCTCAAGATGCAAGTTATCTTTCTTAAAACTTATCCTATTGATAACCATATGTGGCACTTTTGTAACACTACTCTACTCTCCCGAGGTTTACAACACCAACCATTTATCAACCTCTGGCTCTCGGTAACTATTACTATTACTCTACAATTGCACGTGCAACAGGGTTAATTTTATATCCTTTTTTTTAAAATAGAAATCATTAGATTATGGACAAAACTTAGGTGTAGTATTATAGATATGTTAGTGTTATTCTCTGGTTTTCACTTTTATAATATACATAAATGTATATTGCTGATGTAGTTTTAACCGGAGAACAGCATTAACAGTGTCGTGTCATAGATATTGTATTTAAGTTTTGTCCTTAGTTTTATATTAAGGTTTGAGTGTATCTCCTAATTTTTCCAACAGGTGGATATGGGGTGGCTCGGATCCTCGTTACTTGTCCAATGTAGACACTGACTGGGATGACATATTGAAAATTACGGATAAGCTGGCAGGAAAAGATGAACTTCAAGGAATTGGGCTTGTAAATTTCAACAAGAGTGAACTAGCTCATTGGGAGAATCTTGTTCCTGATGCAACACATGTTGTTCTGCCCCTAGAATATGCTGCAAGAAATGTGACATGGGAATCCTTGTACCCTGAATGGATTGACGAGGAGGAAGAAACTGAAGTTCCTGTTTGTCCTTCTCTACCAAGTCTTAGATCCCCAGGAATAAGGCTTAACCTCATTGCTGTGAAGCTTCCTTGTAGGAATGGAGGGAATTGGTCTAGAGATGTTGCTCGTTTGCACCTGCAGCTTGCAGCTGCTGGCCTTGCAACCTCTTTCAAAGGCAACTACCCCGTTTATGTGCTTTTAGTTACCAACTGTTTTCCGATACCAAATCTGTTTACATGCAAAGAACTAGTTGGACGTGAAGGGAATGTGTGGCTATACAAACCAAACTTGAGTGTTTTGAGAGAAAAGGTCCAGCTTCCTGTAGGGTCTTGTGAACTTGCACTTCCTATGAGAGGCAAAGGTAAGTTATGCTCTCTTTCTGTCTCTCATTCTTGAGACAAAACATCATAATCATATGCCTTCAAAACTCAAAAGCATAGTTAAATTGTTCTATGTTTCACTAACAAGGTTCTTAAAACCAGACTGCAATCACGAACTTGACCACAATGTCAAGGTTTTGGCCTTTTGGGGTTCTCTGCAATCCCATTGCGACCGCATTAGCCACATTTTTTTGCAAATTCATGCAAGGTCAATGATCTTGACAAAACTGTGAATGTGACCACAATTTAAGACCTTATTCACCACCAAAACAATGACTTGTATACATTTACTTATACTTGTTATTTTGATGATTGCTGAAGACTCCCAAAGACAATAAACTTGAGGAACAAAGAAACTGGACATTTTCTTTCAGGCTTAAACATGCTACATTCTCATCCATGATCATGAAAATTAGAATGTCATATTTGCAATGTGATTGTTGCATGTGCTACTACTACTACTACTATCATGTTTTTGTCATTATATTTTTCTTATCATGAAGTTGAAACTAAAGAAATTGAATTAATTGGAAGCAGAGCTGGTTTACAATGGGAATGCTCCCAGAGAAGCCTATGCAACAATTCTGCATTCAGCTCATGTTTATGTTTGTGGAGCAATAGCTGCTGCACAAAGTATCCGCATGTCTGGATCAACTCGAGACCTAGTAATACTTGTTGATGAGACGATCAGCAGCTATCATAGAAGTGGTTTGGAAGCAGCAGGATGGAAGGTTAGAACCATACAAAGGATCAGAAACCCCAAAGCTGAAAAAGATGCTTACAATGAATGGAACTACAGCAAGTTCCGGCTATGGCAGTTGACAGATTATGACAAGATAATATTCATTGATGCAGATTTGCTCATTCTAAGAAACATAGATTTCCTATTTGGAATGCCAGAAATCACTGCCACAGGAAACAATGCTACTCTCTTTAACTCAGGTGTCATGGTGGTTGAGCCATCAAATTGCACATTCCAGCTCCTGATGGATCATATTAACGAGATTGAGTCCTACAATGGAGGGGACCAGGGATACCTGAATGAAATATTTACATGGTGGCACAGGATACCAAGACACATGAACTTCTTGAAGCATTTTTGGATTGGTGATGAGGAAGAGAAGAAACAAATGAAGACTATGTTATTTGGCGCGGATCCTCCAATTCTGTATGTCCTTCACTATCTAGGTGTGAAGCCATGGTTATGCTTCAGGGACTATGATTGCAACTGGAATGCTGATATCTTTCATGAGTTTGCAAGTGATGTTGCACATGCAAAGTGGTGGAAGGTGCATGATGCAATGCCTGAGCTTTTGCAGCAGTTTTGCCTGTTGAAGTCAAAGCAGAAGGCACAGTTGGAGTGGGATCGTAGGCAGGCTGAGATAGCAAACTACACCGATGGGCACTGGCGAATCAAAGTTAAAGATAGGCGCTTGAAGAAATGTATAGATAATTTGTGCAACTGGAAAAGCATGTTGCGGCACTGGGGAGAGACAAATTGGACTGATGATGAGTTCTATAATCCAACACCACCTTCCATTGTCACAGCATCCCTTTCTGCTTTATGAGTTCTCAGTTGCACTTTCTAATTTCCTCGCACATGTTGAAGTTTCCTAGTGATAGGGAATGGGGATGAAGGAAACATTTTTTCCTCATACATATTTTTTATGCATAAAAATGGTGTATTCTATGGTCAGATTCTGATCATATATTAATAGATGTCACCACAAATCAATTTTACAGGAATTTACCTGCATAAATCAATCAATAATGGTAATAGTGTAGACAATAGTTCTAAGCCGGATAGACAAACTTCTTGGTTACATGGTCATAAGATATGCATGAGTAACTTGCTTTCATGTTTGAAGACTACATGCACCAAAAAATCAAGGATAACTGTACCCAAAGCATGTGGCAAATGCATAGAGCGACAGCAACAAGACAGGTAGGAACTAGGTAGTAGGTAGAGTTAAAACTTAAAACCCATCCGGCAGACATTTGGACTTGAATTTAATCACACCGCTTGGACTCAAATAGAAATTAAACAATAAATGCTTTTGGGATTTGATTTAAGATTTGAAAACAAATGCAAACCAAAACCGTAAGGTATCCAAGTAAGGGCCTGGGTGGATCATTGTTAGCCACAATCTTTCATATGTGGAAGAAACTTTGTACTTACGATATTAACTAAAGAGATCTGGATAGCACATTTGTTTTGGCATGATATTACTCACACACAAACAGCTCACATTGGTATAATTTATACTATAGCTTCACTGAATTTTCTGTTAAATGATGTGTTTAGGACTGCTAACGTAGAGTCAAGTTGCTTAGTCAAATGTTTTAAATATTTACCGTTGTGTGGTGTCAGTTATTTAGTTGGCAGTTACAAAGTTTTACAGTTATTACTTTTTAAATAGTTGTAATGTTTTCTTGTAAAACTGATGAAGTGCAGTTATTAAAGACTTTGTCCCTATAATTTTCTTTTCCTTGTTTACTGTAACAACAATTGGTATCTAGAGCCCTCTTCCTATGGGATCTGTCTGCAAGTTTGACAACTCATGGAAGTCGAAGCTAATCTTCCTATGACCACTCTGACAGTCTTTGACGGAAGCAACTACCATCTTTGGACAGTACGTATGGAGACATATTTGGAAGCTTTGAACCTTTGGGAAGCAGTGGAAGAAGATTATGAAATTCCAATACTTCCACCTAATACTACAATGGCACAAATAAAAGTGCAAAAGAAAAAGAAGACAAAGAAATCAAAGGCAAAGGCTTGCTGATTCGTTGCTATCTCAACCACCATTTTCACTCGAACTATGTATTTGAAGTCAGCAAAGGAGATATGGGATTATCTCAAGAAAGAATATGAAGGAGATGAAAAAATTAAAGGCATGCAAATCCTGAACTTGATCAGGGAATTTGAACTTACAAATGAAGGAAACTGAAACTATAAAGATTACTCCGATAGACTTCTCAATATTGCAAATAATGAGACTTATAGGGTCAGATTTTGCTGACTCAAGAATTGTTGAAAAAATTCTTGTAATAGTGCCAGAAAAATATGAAGCAACTATTATTGCCTTGGAGAATACCAAGGATTTGTCAAAAATTCCCTTGGTAGAATTGCTTAATGCATCGAAAGCACAAGAACAAAGAAGACCGGTGAGGGAGGACATAAAAATCGAAGGAGCTTTACCAGCCAAGCAACAAAAATTCGATGGAATTGGATCAAGTTCAACACCAACAAATGCAAAAGGAGAGAATGAAAACTGAAAGAAATCTTTTCCACCTTGTCAACATTGTGGAAAAAAAGGCCATCCTCCATTTAAATGTTGGAGAAAACTCGATTCTAAGTGCACTAAGTGTAATTAGATGGGACATGAAGTTGTTATATGCAAAATCAATAATTAACCACGTGATGAAAAGGCAAAGGTTGTTGATGAAAAAGAGGAGAATCACTTGTTTGTTGTTACATGTTTCTCTAGCATTGAATCAAGTGAGAATTGGCTTCTTGATAGTGGTTGTACTAACCACCTGACATAATAAGGATCTATTCAAGGAACCGAGCTACGCAAACTCATCGAAAGTCCAAGTCGAAAATGACAAGTATATTGCTATGAATGGAAAGGAATAGTAGCGATCTCAACCTATTCAAGTACAAAGTTCATTTCTGATGTGTTGTGTACCTAAAATTCTTCAAAATTTGATGAGTGTTGAACAACTAATTGAAAAAAAGTTATAAAGTTTTGTTCGAAAACAAAAGTTGTTTTGATTAAAGATGTACATGATAAAGATATTTTCAAATTAAAAATGAGAGGGAAAAGTTTTCTCTAAATCCATTTAAAGAGCAAATTGCTTTTCGAATCAAAGAAAATATCACTAAATTGTGGTACAAGAGGCTTGGACACTATCATCATCAAGGAATCTTCAAATGAAATCCAAAGATATGACAAATGATATTCTAGAACTTGATGATCATATTACAAATTGCAAAGCACACTAGCTTAGAAAGCAAGGAATCCATTTTCAAAGGTAGTGTGGAGAGCAACGAAAAAACTACAATTAATTCATATTAACATTGCAAGCCTACAAAGAATACCTTCCTTGAATGGTAGTCTTTATTATGTTGCATTTATTCATGACTTCACTCGTATGTGTTGGATCTTTTTTTATAAGCGCATGTTAGAGGTCACTTGAGTTTTTCAAAACTTTAAAGCTAGAGTAGAGAATGAAAGTGCTTGCAAAATTTAGACTCTTGGATCAGACAATGGGAAGGAGTACACTTTTGAAGCATTTGGTCAATTTTGTGATGAGGTAAGAGCTTGCTAGTGAGAGACGGAACTGATTTATATTGGAGATGACGCACTGCATGTTACATGAGAAGAACTTGCTAAATAAATTTTGGGCAAAACACCATTTGAAGCTTGGTATGATAATAAACCCTCTCTAAATTTTCATAGAATATTTGGATGTTTGTGTTAACTCATGTTTCACAAATTCGGAGAGACAAGCTAAATATATAAGAGCAATTCCAAGCATCTTTATTAGCTATAGTCTCTAGCAAAAGCTTATAAAATTTTTCAATCACAAAACAGAAAAATTATTATAAGCAAAGATGTGCATTTTATGGAAGATGAAGAGTGGAATTGAGATGATGCAAAGGCGACGGAGCCAACCTCAAAAGAGTCAAAATTTCCATTTCCTACTTTAGACGAAGTGGGTGAAAGAATTAAAGATTGAAAGTGGAATGGTATACGAGAGTCCTACAAGGGGCATAAGACTACTTTTTGATGTTACGAAAGAGGAAATATTGTTGTTTGTGAACCCACCAATTATGAAGAAGCAAAGACTAATCAGAATCAAATAGTTGTAATGGAGAAATGGGTATATAGAACCAGGCTTAATGTTGTTGGTTCAATCAACAAGCATAAAGCTAGACTTGTGGTTAAAGGATATGCTCAAATGCCCAATGTGGACTACTTAGACACTTCTACACTAGTTGCTCAACTCGACATCTTTTACTCGCTGTTTTAGCACAAAATAATTAGGAGTTCCAACTAGATGTCAAATTAGCCTTTTTTAAATAGCTTTCTACAAGAGGAGATTTGTGTATAACAACCAAAAGGATACATATTCAAAAGAAAAGGAAAAGAAGACAAGGTGTGTCTTCTTAAAATGGCACTTTATGGCCTAAATAAGTCTCTCGAGCTTGGTATAGTAGGATTGATGAGCACTTGTATTTCTTGGGATTTGTTAAAAGTTTATTTGCATCGTGATTATATGTCAAGAAAAATGGAGATGATATTCTCATTAGCTCATTAAATGTGGATGATTTGCTTGTGACATGGAACAAAGCAAGAATAATTAAGAAGTTTAAGAAAAAGATGATGGAGATTTTTGAGATGTCAGAACTCAGATTGATGACTTTCTTTCTTAGAATGAAAATTTAACAAAGTGAATATGGATTTTTAATTTGTCAGGAAAAAAAATATATGCTAATTAAGGAGATATTGAAGAAGTTTGAACTTGAAGAATGTAAAGAAATGATTACTCTGATGAACTCAAAGGAGAAATTTTGCAAAGAAGATGGAACAGAGAAAATTAATCAAGCATATTTTAGAAGTTTGATTGGTTGTTTGATGCATCTCAAGCCACTCGGGCTGATATTTTTTTTAGATTTATGATATTTTTCTTTATTTAAATTTTGAATAAATTTTAGATAAAATAGTTGTTATTGTTACAATTTTATCTTTTATATTTTGTTTTTAGTTATTTAATGTAATTTCAACAAATAGAGTTGTTAGTATATGAGATTTATTAGGAATTTAAAATTGATTGTAAACCTATACACAAGTATCATCTATAAAACTTAAAGAAACTGACGTGAAAATTTTGTCCGTGAAAATTTTGTCTGGTTCTCTAGAGGAGAATTCTCTATTAAATAATAAGATTTCAAACTGATTTTTACCCTTATGTTTGCTAAAAAATATTAACTTACAATTGGGTTAATTAAGAATATAATTACATAATTACAGCTATACAATTATATAAGATATATTATTTTAAAGGGTCAACAAATCAACGGAAATAAAATCAAATAATCTGCCATCAATTTTATTGACATTATCTTCTATGAATGTTATGGTAATTTACCATGCATCTTCAATTTTAATTTCAATTTGTCTGCAAGATCCATTTTTTTTAAATATTTTTCACAAAATATTTCCAAGAATTTTGAATGTTATAAGCATTTTGTCTCAATATGTACTGTGCATTATATGCACTGTGCAAGTGAATGGTATCTCAAGGCTGCAAAGAGAGTGCTTAGATATGTGAAAGGCTATTGAGAATCTGAATCAATATTTATTATTTTAGTTTATTTCAGATTAATGGAGCACTATTAGAATTCTTATGGTTATGAATTTTAATTATAGGAATTATAGGTGTTGTTACACTTTTATGAGTATTTACATTTGTCATTTAATTTTATGTTTATGAGCAGAATTTGTATCAGCTTTCAATTGTATTTTGTATATTTAAAGGTTGCAAGTATGAATAAAATACATGAGTTTCAGTCTTCTAATTTTTCTGAATTCCTACAATTGGTATCAAGAGCTTATTTTGTTCTTGAGGGACCTGATAAGGTTGAGAGTTCCACCAAACACCTAAACACTTATATTGAGAATTGAAATGCAATCTGATTATTCAGTCCAAACACTACCAGCATTTGATGGTGAGAATTATCACCTATGAGCAGTCAAAATGGAGGCTTTTCTTGATGTAAATGATCTTTGGAAACTGTTGAGGAGGATTATAAGGTTGGTCAATTACTAGAAAATCCAACACTTAATCAAATCAAGTATCATAAGGAAAGAAAGCAGTGAAAATCAAAGGCAAAGTTTTGTTTATTTTTTGTTGTTTCTCAATCAATCTTCACCAGAATTGTGACTCTAAAGTCAGCAAAGGTTATCTGGGATTTTTTCAAACAATAGTATGAAGGAAATGAGGGAGTTAAAGGGATGCAACTGCTGAATTTGATCAGGGAGTTTGAGATGCAGCGGATGAAGGAGTCAGTAAGGGTGAAAGTATATTCTAATGGACTTCTAAGCATTGTAAACAAGGTGAGGTTGCTTGGGACAGAATTTTCCAATACAAGGATAGTGTAGAAAATCCTTGTGACTCTTCCTGAGAGGTTTGAATCCACCATTTCCTCTTTGAAAAATTTCAAGGATCTGTCAAATATCACTTTGGCAAAATTGATGTATGCTTTGCAAGCCCAAGAATAAAAGAGACTCGTGAGGGAGGAAGGTGTGATTGAAGATGCTTTACAGGTGAAACTAAAACTTAATCATGGTTACAAAGGAAAGAAAAAGAAGGCTCAAGGAAACAACTTTGAGCAAGGAGAAAGTTCCAACAAAGGTAGTAAAGGAGATTATGAGAAACCAAATCATCCTCCTTGTCAACACTGTGGAAAGAAAAACCATCCCCACTTCAGATGTTAGAGAAGACCAACGTACGCTGTAACAAATGCAACCAGCTTGGTCATATTGAAAAATTTTGCAAGAATAAAAGGTAATCTCAAATAAAGGCTCAAGTGGCTGACCAACAAGAGGAGGAGGAGCAGTTATTTGTAGCAACTTGTTTTGCACCCATAACAATTGTGAGAGTTGGTTGATTAACAGTGGATGCACACATCATATGACCTATGATGAAGAATTGTTCAAGGAGCTGGATAGGACAATTGTTTCAAAAGTCAGAATTAGCAATGGAAAGTGCATAGCTGTGAAAGGGAAGGGCACTATTGTAATTGAAAGTTGTTCAGGTACAAAAATAATCACTGATGTACTTTATGTACCTGAAATTAATCAAAACTTGTTAAGTGTTGGACAATTGCTTGAAAAAGGCTACAAAATTTTGTTTGAAGACAAAATGTGTTTGATCAAAGATGTAAGTGGATATGATCTGTTCAAGGTCAAAATGAAGGGAAAAAACTTCTCTTTAGATTTAATGGAGGAGGTGCAAGCTGCTGTTTCAAGCACGATTAATGTCACTGAACTTTGGCATAAGAGAATGGGTCATTTTAACCATGTTGCACTGTTGAACATGAAGAAGGACAATATTGTGGAAGGCTTGGCATCATTGGAATCTGACTTAAATAATTGTAATGCATGCAAATATGGGAAACAATACAGGCTACCATTTCCACAAACTAGTTGGAGAGCATCACAGAAACTGCAATTGATTCACACAAACCTTGGAGGACCTCTACCTAA